GCATAATGGTTAACGTTGAGTGTTCCAACTATAGCAACGCTTTGCACAATTGAGAACTCTCAAAAGTAATACTTTTCTTCGTCTAAGTTTCGTGTGATGCGTGCAATCGTACCAACTCAGAGACAGAAAATTAGCAAGTGTTTTTTCTTTAAGTTGGCATTGATCGAAATGTTTTATTTATATGTTATCGTTAGTAATATTATTTATTGTTGAAAAATTATTAATTTTTCGTTTCATCATAGTTTTTTTTTAAATAATCAAAGTTAATTCAAACTGTGTTAAAAATTAAATATAAATATGGATGAAGGTACAAACATTGACTTTTTTTTTCAACACTGAACTTAGCGCACTCTGCTGGTGCATTTGAAAACTAATTCACGTTCCAATTAAGCATCAGCATAATTCGGCATTGTGCGCCACAGAGTCGCATTATGCTCTGTAATTGGAAAACCACCATAAAACGGCAGTATCTTTTGTTTACCTGCAAATGAAACCCGTTGAAACTTGTTTTATTTATTTAATGATGTGCGTGCTAATAAAAAAATCTTATAACGGTCATTCTAGGGTTACCCGATATTGGAGCGTCGTTACAAATTGCTACCAAATCATTAATTACTTGTTAAGAAATGGAATTTTATTGCAAAACATCATCCAAAAATTAACCTCGTGTTTATCATTTCCGTCTCCCGATTCTGGCACGCTAAAACGTGAAGAAAAACCTTAAATGACTATTAACTATTGTTTGTTACTATTTTACTTCTGTTGCAATATAGTGAATGAATTGATTATCGCCGACTGAGCTATTTGTTGTACGATCAAAGTACCAACGATATTTTTTCTGTTATTTCGCACAACTTGTTAGTTTTTATTTTGGTCGTTTACATCTAAACAATGATTTGTTTATTTATTAGTCTATGTATGGCTTATTAAAATAGAAATTCATAATTTATTGAGCAATTCTTTATAGCTCCTCACTGCGTATCTAATTTTCTTCAGGTCCAAATGTATATCTCTGCCGACTATCGGCCTTGACATCGCCAAGGCTTTTTACAGGGTCTGGCACTTTGTGCCAGACACTGTGTGCCTTCTCTCCAAGTTTCCTATATACGGTCTGCCTGCTCAGTTCTGCGCCTGGGTAGCTGACTTCCTGCATGAACGTAGAATTCGCGTCCTTACGGGTGGATTTAATTCGCAGTTCATGTCAGTGAATGCCGATGTTCCTCAGGGCTCTGTTCTATCCCCCCCACTATTTCTGCTGCATATCAATGATTTGATTCCTCTTGGGAATATTCATTGCTATGCAGACGATAGTACAGTGCATGCCAGATACTTTGGACAAAGCGCGGCTGGACAGCTAGAAACCAAGGAGAAACGGGAGAATCTTGGCGCTGAACTCCATCAGGCTTTGGACCACATTCCCGAATGGGGTACTAGGAACTTAGTTGAGTTCAAAGCTAAGAAAACCCCGGTTTGCGCTTTCACGGCAAAAATATCGCCATTCCTTCCCCTTCTCTCTCTTCAGGGCACAACACTGGCGCTACAGACCAACATTACAATGCTCAGACGGACTTCTGCCAAAGGACTACATCGAAACCGTGATCAAAACAGCTTCACGCAAACTCAAAGTCCTGAACAAGGAGTGCTTGTTGTACAAAACGCAAGTGTAGTCCTGCGTGGAATATTGCTCGTACCCCTGGGATGACTCCGCTAAGTACTTACTCTGCCTTGGATAGGTTACAACGGCGCGCTGCCCCCATCATTGGCGATGAAGAGGTAACTAACGAAACATCAATAAAGCGCATTCTACCGACTATGCCATGGCGAGTGTTCTGAGAAGTTATTCTCCCTTATCCTTCCATGACCTTTTCTTCATAGGAACACGCGCACTGACCTACGTTGTCACCGACTTACCACTATTCCTACACGAACAAAGCAATTTGATGACTAATTTCTTTGTCGTACTACTCGCAAGTGGAATTTTTTGCCCGCGCACGTGTCTCTACAATCTGGGGTCCTAAGAAAGGCGTGAAGAAGCATTTCTGTAGGCCGGTAAGGTGAGGATGATTAGTGTGGCAGTTTATAACTGCTGTACCAGCTATCTTCGCGTCTGGACTTAATCACTACTTAACATCAGGTGGGGGAGTCATTTGCCTACCTCGCAAAATAAAAAAACATTCCCTTATTATTTATCACCCTCCAATGCCTTTTCACCCTCCAGTTCCCTTTTCACCTACCAATCCCACTATCACCCACCAATCCCCACTATCACCCGTCAATTATGAAGGTATTAAACACACAGAACAGACTCATGTTAAAATACCCCTTCTTAAATGACAGTTGCATAATCTACTATTATTATGGGTGTATTCCGAAATATACTTCAGTATACTGGCCACTTGTCACAACACCACACAAGCCCACCACAATAGATAAATATAAATCCGGCTTTACAAAGTCAGTTTGAATTTTGTACGTTAAGAAATCGCACAGTACAGGTTAGGTTAGCTTTGCTTCTACTTTCAGGTGTATATTTTTTACAATACAAAGCTAATGAATCAAAATGAGTGTCAATCAAAACAGACAACGACCCATTATAATTAATTTAAATATTGGTGATCAGCTAACATCGACATCGTGTGGTCACGTTGTCGTTGAACTTATAAAGTTCTTAGTTTATCAAAGATTGCAAATACCGTATACGTATCAATGGTTGAAACAAGTGGTAACAAAGAAAAAGATGCGTGAAAATGAAGATAAAAAGGATAGCTTTCAATCGGAAACGCATTTTCGTATAGCATCAACAGCGTTGGAAAACTTGGACTATATTCTCAAAGTAAGTAGAGAAACGCCTGTCCATTTGTCTAAATATACAGAGTTATCCATTAACAATACTGACTACTGGAAAAAAATATCCACACGATAATTTTTTTCTTCAATTTCAGAGCTTGTTACAAGAGATAAATGGTCCTTCATTACCTGATGAAGTATGTGTCGTTTTCGGAGCCACACCAGTGAGTTGTAAAGAGGTTTATAGACTTATTATGCCCACAATGTGTCATAAACCACAATGCCACTCGACCCATATAGCTAATGATCAGAAAATTCAGCGGAGTGTTTTTAGGTAACTAATTTAAAGTATGTTCTTTTTTCGTATTTGGAATGCATATTTATAAATGCTAAGAATTGAATTTTCACAAAAAAACATTACATGTATTGATATCCTACTTCCATGGAATAAGGAATCTACTGCACTACATATTATTTTATTACACATTTACATTATTTTATTCACTGCTTGTTAACTTTTGAATAAAAATTTATGACTACTACTAAGTAAACCAGAAAACTTGTTAATTGTTTTTGTATCATATCATGTATTTAGCATTTGATTCATTAAATGCTGTGTGGCATGGCATTGGGTGTTGTCGAGTTTTAGTCTGTTCCTATAAATTGTTATAAAATCATAAAATAAACAAGTGCATTCAATTTGTTGTTAAACATAAAATTTTCATATGATTAATAAGACTCTCACTACATATTAAAATATTTAGTAGATATATTTGACTAAGTACACATTTGTTTTCTCAGGACTTTGGTGACATCAGAAACATTGAGTCGAATGTTCTTCAGTTTATTGCCACCCACAAACTTATATATGTTTATAAAAAAGAAAAACATAGAAACCCAAGATATTGTCAATGGTGATAATTTCATTTTAACAAATGGATGTAGAATACCGAGAAATTCCAGGGTAGTAGTATTGGATTTCAGGACTGCTAAAACTGAAAATGTTTCATGTTGCAATGACTTCCATATATTTAGTGACACAATCAGCCAAAATCTCAAAAATTTGCAGATTGACACATTGCCAAAAGACAGTGCAGAAGATTTCAGTGAAATAGAGTCAACTGAAGAAATAAAATGGTACCAATCCACATATGTGATGAAGGGGTTCAAAGACTGTGTTGTGAATGGGACGTCTGTCACTACTTCATGGCAAGAATCATAGCTCATAAGTCTAGTTTATTTCTAGGAATGAATTTTTGCTAAGAATATTTAGTAGAACAATTATATTGCTCAAATGTTATTATATACCTATTGACTGATTTGAATATTAGTTTATTTTTACTGGGAAATTTGGAACTCCACATGTGCACAACATCAGTGACTTTTAGGCGTTGAGCAGACGACGGGGCGGGGCGGGCATTTTGTCCGCGAAGCAATAAAAACCGCGTCTGCCCGTCGATGTCTGCGGCTGCCCGCGCCGTGTACACAAAGCACACGACGGGCAGAGGCGGTCAGTTCAGGACGTTCGTTCTAATGAATAGTCCATCACTAAAAAGCGCGTGGCGCGGACTGAGCTGACCGCCCCGCGCCGTCGTCTGCGTTGCTGCATATAAACTGGTTTGTCTGATCCACGGCGGGCAGCCGCGGACATGCCGCGCTGCCACTGCCCGCCGGGCACCTGCGGCGTGATCTTTTTGCCCTCTGTGTGCCTTTGAAGTATAGGATTCACTTTGTGCTATTATTCGCGGCGAAATTGACTGGCCCGCCGCACCCCGTCGTCTACTAAACGCCTTAAAAGATGAGACTGGTCATTAATCACATTTGATTCCATGAGAAATGTATGTCATTTGCTGCAATAATGACACCATTATATACTTATTACTCCTGCAAATTATGGAAAGCTTTAATTTGTCTTTATGAATTATTTAATTGTATTGAATTTCTTTGTTATTTTAGTTTTTTGTAATTTGGCAATTTTTTTTGACAAACTAGCGCAAATATTAAAACAATATGAATGGTTAAGTTTTTATTATATGAATTATTTATTAATTCATTAGATAATTTGTTTTGATTCATAACAATTTCGATTATAAAATGTTGTATGATTTCCATAATACATTTGTTGTGCCATATTGTAATAACAGATTATTGACAGAAAATTGTTTAATAAATTATTTTTTCTTATTCCTATACATGTTTTAATACTTTGCACATAATTAAAATATTACCACATGCATATAACTTTATATAGGATTAGTAACTTAAGCTTGTATGAGCTCCACTTTACCTTGGCCTTTACTAAAAATGTCTCTCTCTCTTTTGACAAAACACACTCTTTTCAATGGTTTATCAATAGGACGCACCATACAGTTTTTTTGATTATCACAATTTCTTAAAGCTTCGTTAAATTCTAAAATGAGATTATTCCTTCCACCGTTAGGACCAACAACATACTCGCATCTTATAAACTTTTTTGTCATATCTGTCATACAGCATTCCAGAAGTTCATAATATTCTAGCCAATAATCTTCAGGCACTTGTATTAATTTCAGACCTAATATGTTTCTTAAAATTCCAGTGATGTAAATATCATCTATCCAGAAGTGAGGTTGGTATAAAGCCATATCACATAGTCTAGTTGCAACACTTGATGTAGTAATGTAATACCACCCTGATAAGTATTCTGGATATTTATTCAAATTGTATTCTTGTTGTGTCACATACCACTTGTTCTCTATATTCCTTCTAGGCACAGTATTGTTTAACATATATCCCATTAACACGGTTTCTTGGATACCTAGTTTCAGTAGTAATTTGTATGTGCCCTCAAGGCTAAACACAGTATCATCATCAACTTTTAGTATGTAGGTAGGTCTACATACATTGCTGGCCCATCTCAATCCCATCAAGTGTTTTAAAGTAAGATTCCTGTAATTTTCTACAAATGAACCTTGAAGTATGTCTTTATAAATACTTAATTCATTTATAATAGCTGCTTGTGTTATGTATCTGAAAAAACCAACAAGTTAAATATTTTGTTTAATGGCCTTTGGACAGTTTATAAATAAAAGTAAGTAGAAGTTTACTTTTCAGTCACAGGAATTTTTGATAGTAAAAAAACTCTTGTTACATTCATAGACTCTAAGAGATCAGCTGGCATGGCTCTTCTGTGTGCACTTCTTAATTCAACATGTCCAACATATGATGTCACTATAATTGTTAGAAATGAACTTTCTGAAACATAAGAACCAAATTAAAATTAAGTCTATCAACAATAATTATAAGTTCAGTTTCTGATTCTGGCTGTATTGCGTAAAGAGCGTGAATGAGAGGAAGAAATAAACTTACTTTTGCAATATGTAACTGGTGGTGAGAGTATAAAGTCTTTCATGTAATCATAATTCTTTTTATGTAACAGTAATGAGTCTTTCATTTCATCAGAACTCCAAAGGATCCATATGCATAAGAAAATAAATGCTAATACTAAAGTAGACACAAATTTCTTTTGCCATTTCATGTTACTAAAAAAACGATGTTAGGTTTTCTTGAAACTTACACCTACTTAATTGCATCATCTTATGACTTTCTATTGATGTTTTATTAGAATTCTAGGTTCTCAATAATTCAAAATTATTTTAAAATACTGTTGTGTTGTTTCCTTGCATCATTTTTTTTATTATTATAATGGCTCGCACGGTTTGTGCATAGAGATGGAAAAAACGGCTTATTTCTTAAAAGCGTTTAAACGTTGTACTTTTTAAAATAAGCGCGCTTGAAAAAAAGCTTTTTCGTTGAAACGCTTATTGGCTTAAACGTTTAAAAGCATGCGTAAAAAGCGCGACGTTGTGTTGTGTTTTCGTTTAGGTATATCGTTTAAAAAAGCGTGAAAAGTTTATTGTCGTTTTTAATGTGTTTAAGTGTTTTATTGCGTTTTTTCTTCTAATGAAATTTTTATTAAAAAGTTTTTTTAAACCTAATGAATTGATTGGCATTAAAGACGAAAGATTTTCAATTGATTTTAGATTTTATAATAAACATTTTTATAATAGTCAATGAACTTTCCTTCGAACTTTACAAGCTTTGGACTGTCTGGAGTTAATATACTCGTGATCCAGGCGTACTTAAAAGTTCATTGATTTTATATACATACTTTTAACTATTTTATATGCACATTAAACCAATACACGAAACGCATTAACACAAGCAAGCATGCAAACACACCGTACAACACCCACGCGCTCTTACCCCGTCACAGTGACAAGCGTACTGCTTTTCGACTTCGTTTAATTAAACGCTTTTAACGAAAAAAGCGTTGGTTATCCGACCAAATTTTAAAAAAGTGCATTTTTTTACGTCGCATTATAATAATTCGCATGCTGTATTAACCGGCTCACGAAAGATGGCACGCCGACGCGGCGCTGTTCTGTCTGTGATATTGTGAAATATTTAGTTCCAAGGAATTCCGCGTACCCAATTTTCGATACTGTAGTGGACTAGAAGGATCGAAGTATGTAGTTTCCTGGCAAAGACATAGATGGCGGGATTTGCACTTTTTAAGTAAAAAATATACTTGCACTTTTTTAAGTGAAAAACTTACTCACACTTTTTAAGTGAAAAGCTTATAACGCTTATACTTAAAAGCGTGCTTACAAGCTTAATATTTCAAGCGCGCTTATTTAAGCGCTTTTCGTTTAAACGCCCACCGCTAATTGTGCATTGGCCACGACAGGGTAAAAGGTAAGGAAACCAAAATAATGAAATAAATAAAGGTTGTGAAACGGAATTTGGAAGGATTAGTTAGGATCAGGTAGGTATATAAAATTAATTTGAAACGTAAGTAATAGGTCTTTTTAAGTATATAAAATATATTATATTATTTGTTATAAATTACTTATAATTTTATATTATGTTTAGTTAGGAATTCAGATAGCTTGTTATATATATTATAATTTTTATAATACAATAAGGAAGGAATATAAGTAGTGAGAGGTACATTAAGGGATATTAATGAATCCATAAAAGAGGAGGAATCATTGAGGGGACACTCGAAGAAGATGTGATTTTATCAACCACTTCCTCATTTATGAAATTCTGAGTTGGTTCTCTGAACGCTGATCTAAATCTTCGGATATTAGTCCAAATAGCAGATGGGGAAATATCAGGGGCCAAGGAAGAACAAAATGTCTTCCAACCATCCCATTTTTTTTCTTTAAAAAATGCATTGCAAACGCATCTGCGCACATTGTTTGATCATTAAGCTGAACGGCGGGAAGAGATGATACTTTTTGCGTAACTAGCTCCCTAAACTTCTCCTAGCTATCACTGTCATTGTTAATTCTATGTTTCAGTCTAGGTGAACGTTTAGGACGCGATTTTAAAACTGTTTATCTGCAAAACAAAAGTTAGCAAATGGCTAAAAGGTATGGATTACGAAGAGACGGAGTGTTTAGTAAACAATTAGACCACTTTATTGTGTAATCAAATACGGCAGCAATTAGTTATTGTCGGATTCTGTAGTTTTTATAACCAGTTTATATATCTACTAGCAGACCCAGCGAACTTCGTACCGCCCTAAAAAAATAGGGGTTGTCCAGCGGACAAAATTGTGAATCTAAACCATTCTCAGATCCCCTTGAACACACACAAAAAAATTCATCAAAATCGGTCCAGTCGTTTAAGAGAAGTTCAGTGACATACACACTCACAGAAGAATTATATATATAAAGATATAAGTTATTATACAACTAATGTGCGCACACCTAAATCGGCTACAGCATTTACGTACATAGAGGGGACCCTGTTGCCTGTGACCTGTAATACAGGTTATCATACCACTGGCAACAGAAGTCACCTTTAACTAGGGCTGCCATCCGTCCGGGTTTCCCCGGATTTGTCCTAGTTTACGGGGCGTCCGGGGAGCGTCCGGGCGGGGTTTCGTTTGTAGTCCGGGTTTAAAAATTTCCTGTTTTGGGTCGCCAATTAATCCGTCAATTTAAATGTCTTTAAAAATAAATAAATCTATTCTAACACTGTAACCATAAATGCTGACTTCCTACAAAGATCAGCTTTGTCCCCCTTACTGTCCGCAATAACGCATTCGTTGCTATGCGGATTCAAGCACTGAAACTTTTTACACTGGCCGGTCAAACATCCCTCGGATGGAAGAAGAAGGGTGTAAAGACAGACTTGTGTCCGAAATTGAGATGTTACTGGATCAAGTCTCAAATTGGAGCCAACAAAATTTGATTGGATTAACCCAGCAAAGACACAAGTGTGTGTGAAAAAGCTTGTGTGTTCAATAGATCTAGTAAGTACCTCAAGCCTAAATATCGGGTGTTACTTTACAAAGCACTGGTCCTCTGGGCTGGAGCACCCCAATACCTACCAGCTCCTTGCTCTTGACCGGATACAAAAGCGGACAGTTTGACATATCAATGCTCCTGAGCTCACTCACGCGTTGCAACCCCTTAGCATGTGCAGACGGTACAACACGTAAAAGGACGCAACTCCTTCCACGTGGCGTACGATCTATACAATCAATGGAGAGTGTTCCGAGGAATTATTCAACCGGATGCCAGTGGCCAAGTTTCTTCACAGCACCACAAACCGCAGAGAAGTTTCCCGCCCATCATCTGGACGCTTGGCGTTTGAGCACCATGTGTTCCTTTCTTTTGTGTACCAGCAAGATCTAGAACGAACTTTCCTCAGTATTTTTTTCTTATAGCTATGTGGTAATCTTAAAAAGGCGGATGAACCTTTTCGTTCAGAGCCGGCAACGCATGAGTGGCCCTTGGTGCTGCAAGTGTCCATGGGCAGCATTGACCACTTACTATGAGGTAGACCGCTAGCTCTTTTGCCTACATCAACATAAAAAAAGTTGATTTGTGACATTTTTAACTGTTTTTTTATTGGTCTGTCCGGGTTCTGGGCTCCAAAATCCGGGGTTATCACGCCTCCGATCCTGGTTGCCACATTTTAGAGATAGCAGCCCTAAAGCCTTTAACAATATTTAAGCTCCAATGTGCCTCTTGTCACCAATTTTTGTATTTAATTTAAAATATTGTATATTGTAACTTGTTTTAAGTCAATAAACGTTTATTATTATTATTATATTAATATGGGGAAGTGGTCACTGCCGAAAGTGGAGGAAAGCGTGCTCCATGAAAAGAAGGAAGCTAAATTGGGGGTGGAGATAGATAAATCCGGGGCGCTTATGCCTTCATTAGGCTGTGTGCGTCTAGTCGGATCGCCAGAGTTTAAAATATAAAAAATATTTTCATCTACAATATCTAAAATTCTAGCGCCATAATAGCTTGAGCTAGAACTACCCCAAGATCGATGTTGAGCGTTAAAATCACCCATTATCAAAATAGGTTTAGGTAATCGCGATAGAATAGCTGCTACTTCATCATATATAGAGGATGACGGATGAGGAATGTATATTGACACAAAGTATTTATTTTGAACGGATGCAGCTATTATTGAGAATATTATATTCCAATTACTAACCATAGTACTGACTATGGTTAGTAATTGGAATATGCTGGAAAGGAACAGTGTCACTTATTAATAAAGCAACACCACCATAGTTATCAGTTCTATCTTCTCTTAAACAAAAATAATTAGAAATATTAAAGTTAGTGTTGAGTTGGAGCCATGTTTCTTGTAGTGCCATAATAATTGGTTTGTATATGTTAGGGCTGCCATCTCTAAAATGTGGCAACCAGGATACGACGCGTGATAACCCCGGATTTTGGAGCCCAGAACCCGGACAGACCAAGAAAAAAACAGTTAAAAATGTCACAAATCAACTTTTTTATGTTGATCTAGGCAAAAGAGCTAGCGGTCTACCTCATAATAAGTGGTCAGTACTGCTGCCCATGGACACTTGCAGCGCCAAGGGCCACTTATGCGTTGCCGTAAATTTTTAAACCCGGACTACAAATAAAACTCCGCCCGGACGCTCCCCGGACGCCCCGTAAACTAGGACAAATCCGGGGAAACCCAGACGGATGGCAGCCCTAGTATATGTTAATAATATACAGTAAGTCTGATTTTTTATTCCTTATGCTGCGGCAATTCCACTGAAGGATTGTGGACTGAAGATCCATTATTTGTATCATTATTATTAATTAAATTATTCATATTTAAAATAGCAAGGGCAGTTCAAAATAATTATTTTGTTGAGAGAGTGAGTTAATTAAAACAATAATTAAATCTTTTATTGACAAAGTAGGTAGATAAAGGATTATTTTTCAAGGTGCCAATTGATGGTAAAGGGATATCATAGTTCTGAGTTAATGCAGAATGGGCTACCTTATCATACCCTATGCTGTCCTTTTTGGGTGGATTTGATTTCACAAAATATGTCTTTTTATAGGAAGACTTGTTTACATTATTATAATTTGTATGTTTTTGTTTTGTAGGAGACAATGGAGGTACTGTGGAAGATAACACTTCAGAATAGGATTTCATAACTGGAGGATGTAATTTATATGCTTCAGTATATGAAACACAATTTTTTGCCATGGTCTCTTTTATAGATTTCTGTCTTGCAAACTCAGGGCATTTTC